GGGGGGGGGGGGGGGGAGGCGAATTGGATGTTTAATCGAAATCTGGGTAATCAGGACGCTGATATAAGGAGGGAGAGGGGGGATCTGGCGTGGGGGCAGGGATCAGATTTTGTTAAACAGTCCTCGAGCCAAGAACGGGGTGGGGCTCGTGACGCCAGGAAGCACATGGAAAGCACATGGAAGCCAAAAGGCAGGGAACAGGGAAGCCAACGAATCTTTAGGGAAAGGGATGTTTAGGGAAGAGATGTTTGCGATAGAATTTAAAAGTTCAACTCGTCGACATTCGTTCCTTCCAGCAAGGCAGGTGGGATCGTGCTGCTCCGGAAAGAGTGATTTTCCCAAGGGACGCCTCAGCCAGCAGGAGCCAGGGGAAAGTTACAGGATGATCGGTATGACTGGGTTGTTGTTCGAAAGAAAATTAGGCTGGAGGATGCAGATGCCTTTCGGTCCAGCTGCAGGAGAATTAATCCTTGAAACAGAATCAGATTCGGACTCTTTTTAAATATTTTTCCTCAAATGAATTTTCTTCCGGAAACTCCGGTGTCAATGGTTGAAGCATCCGTTTCCAAGGTCCAGAGTAGCTGGAGTTTTGAGGGACGGAAAGAGTATTGGGACAATCCTCGACACAGTTCGAGAGTCGTTAATACAGTCGAACGATTGCTTCCACTTTCGATGTAAATGATGCATTTACCAATTCGCTTGGAAAAATGTTGACCCACCAGGAAGGACGGACGTTCTACTAAAGTTTTTGGTATCCGTAGCCACGTTAGCATCCTGGCTTATTTTCGCCTTTCCTGCCAATTTCAGGACTGAGTTGAGCATAAAGATTCAATGATTTTTCGACATGAAACGTTGCCGCGGTCGCTCGTTAGAAGTCGTGTAACATAAATTGGACTGAATTAATAAGGACAAAGCGATTTCGATCTGCGGTCTTATAATTATTATAAACTATTGGTTTATAGGTCTCTGCCCAGAGATTCGTGGGCAGCTTTCATTAAACTTTTACTGAAACGATCAACACGGCGAATCCCATGACGCTTCACGGATTAGGAAGTTACGCACACATGGATATTTATATGGTCGCACGCAGCGCGATCCACCCCTAGTTTGTATTCAGAATAAATATGTGGTCAGTATAATAGAATTTACATTAGCAAAACGCATACTAATCCTTTTAAGCAGGGTACTACGTATTACGAACACTAAGGGAAATTTAACATTTCCCTAAGAAAAATGAAAAAACACGAAGATCTTTCCCATGTTAAGTGGACGTGACTATAATTAAGCTAACGAGAGTCTTCGGTAGCAATGGCGGACCAACCCTTATTGTGACTTACCTTTGTAAGAGGACATAGGTTAAATGAGAGTGAGAGAGAAAGAGAGAGAGAGTTTAATTGAGAGGCGCCACGTAATCCCTCTTCAAAGGGGGAATTTTCTGGATTATTT